GCGAAAGCCCCCCATGGTCCCTCTGTAGGCGCAGGCGTCCTGTGCCTGTCCTATGGAGGCCGCAGTGACAGACACATTCGAAACCTGATGCTGCCAACCATTCCCTTCAACAAGCTGGTTCTCCTGGGCAAGTTAAGATGGCTCAGTCATGTCCTGCGTATGTCACCTGAGCGTTTGCTCTATTGCGCCCTTTCCGCTCGTGCAGGACTTGGCTGGAAGAGACCACGTGATGGTCAACTGTTCACCTGGCGACAGCATATGAAATCGTTGATTTCACGTCTTGCTGCCACACGTCTGCGTGGTTGGGGTCCAGAGGACGAGGAGTGGCGATGGCTGGAAACAATTCAGGGTACAGTACGCATTCGAAACCAGTGGAAGATTCGTGTACATACTTCTTTATATTAAGATATTTACTGCTTAACAATTGAAAATGTAAAAATTACAAAAGATTTCCTCTTGCGGCACAGTAGCTGAAGTGTGTTGCTCACCTTCAGCTAATGTGTCAAGATGATGATGCGGTGATTAAACCTGTATTCTTTCAGTGATCGCCGTGATTTTGTTTGGCTTTATGTCTGTTTGTTGGACAGTTGCGACCAATAATTGTCGCTAAGGGTACAGGTACTTCGGAAACTTGTTCAATCTCTCGAAAGGATGCGTCACCCTAATGTCCCAAATGGTTTGTAAATATGGGGTTTCATCTCGGCGCGTACGTTGCAGCGATATGTCTTTATTATCACATTCTCAACTGAAAAACGTTGATTCCGCGAACGAATACGATTGAGCATTTTGGTGACCTATAACTGACACTGTGTTGTATATTCCTGGAATGCCAGGTGTGTGACTACATAGAGGATGTGCGCAATAAAGCGTCGGCAGCTTTTCCGCTCCGATAAACCGTGTCATAAATCTAACACGGGAGTTAATCGCTGATATGTTTCATTTTTGATTAACATTGAGACGAACAGCAGATCTGGTATGATTGTGAGACGATTACTGATGATGGGGCATCACCACTACCGAACTGACTCTGTGGTAGCAGGCACCTTCTTTTCAACAGCAGTATGGTATTCGCTAGGTATAGCGGTTTGTGAAAAGAAGGCAACTAACTGTCCATTTTGTAGTAGCACAGAAGTACTGGCCATGTCATGGGCGGCCGTTTTAATGACTAGGTATAGTAACGGTCATATGATTTTCTGTTTACCTCTTGATGCTTTCTAACGGTTACCGAACCTAAGGGAAGCAGCGGTTGCTGATTAGCAGGCGGGTTTCCTCAAAGCGAAGGATCCACGAGAACTGATGTGCAAAAAGTCCTAGGACGTTACTGCGACTTCACATCGATGATTACAGAAAGGCATTTCAATGGTTTAAGCCGTCCTGGGTCCGACTGCCGATTCCCACTTCACGTTCACCAGTGATCGGCTGTAAAATGACGCAAGTGAGCTCAGAGGTAGTTATAATAGCGCTAATCCTCAGATAATCTCTGATGTCCTTCCCTACCGTAAAGATGGTGAAAGCAACTACCACAGTTGTATATGAACATAACCGGTTGCAATGGTCCGGTTGACCTTGAGGCAGCATAAACTCACTCCCCGGATTCGTCTCCCGAGGCACAGTGTGCTCTACGCGAATCGCCTATCGGGTTTACATCGTCTATCTGCTTGGAAGATAGGTATCCGTATATCGCCTCCAGTTTGATCTTGGGATCCTGTTATCTGCTGTGCTGAAGACAAACATAAGAGATACATATGATAGGTAGATACCTATTTTTATATCGTACTTGCTTATTTGTTAGCCTCAGTAACTCCTGTTCTTCCTCACACTGTTGCCATGCGGTATATTAAAATCCTTCCAGGTAACCCGGGTTAGCTGTCGAATAAAGAGCAGCCTGTAGTGAAGGTTACGATACCAGTGATCAAAATGCAGAGGCTGATTTTAGATAAATAAATAGTTAGTATGTTCCTTGACGGTGCGAGAAGCTGTTCCATAAAAGGGGCAGATCAAAAATTGTTACATCCTTTTCATGCAATGGCAAAAATAAATGAGTACAAATTTTGAATTCAAGTAACAAATAGTCAAAATCGTTCAGCTGTTTCTTTCCATCTGTCATTAAACCAGGGTTCTGCAAAATCAGATGAAAGATGCGTTGTTCTTAAATTAGTCAGTGGCCACCAATGCTGTTCTCGAAAGCGTTACCCAGGAATTTTGATATCCGAACATAATAATGGCGTTTTGGACAGTTAAACTGCCTACTAATCGCAAGCATGTTTTTGATATCTAGTGGAAGTTTGTACCAAACCTTCCGGTAGTGGACTAGAAAGTCCTCGGATTCTCATAATAAATGTTGATATCGTGATTTTCATCTCTTTGTTGCGGATCGGGTATCTGCTATTTAAAGAGATGTGAACGCCGTCATCAGAACTGTGAACTTGATGGCTAATGAGTCCACCGAAACCAAAAATGAAATTTCGTGCTGCAGTCCAAAACGCACGGTGGTGTTCCGAAACTCGACAATTAACTTCTAACCGCTGTATAAAGCGGTGCTGACGGAGATCAATGACCTAATTACTCTGGTTTCTTTCCGCATCTTCCCAGATCGTACAAATGACATATTTACACCTCGGTATGTGCCGGAAGCAAAATTGCCACCTGCCGTTATCTTTCCTGAACGGGAGGCCATCTTCCATCCGGTTGATCATAGCACTGACCTGTCGTTTGATGAAGTTGTTGCAGCCCTCTCATAAATTTTTGGGGGACAGACATCGCTGTTCAACATTCGTTACAAGTGTCTGACAATGACTAAGAAAGAACAGGAGGACCGGGTCAGCTATTCAAGCCGTGTGAATCGCGAGTGCGAACGATCACAGTTTCACAAGATGACGGACGACCAATTCAAGTGTTTCGTACATACAAGCAGCCAAAGATACAAACATTCGAACAAGAATACTGAGCAAGATTGAACCTAATCCTGACATCCGATTGAAGCAAGTGACCGGTGAGTGGCAAAGAATGACGAACCTGAAGCACGATACATCAATGATTCAGCAGTTGTCCAAGGCGAACGAGCATGATCTCATTTGTGCAGTCAACCGGACTCCACAAAAAGCAGCAACTCACGTGAGTCTATCACATTTCAAACCTCCCTCTGCTTATTGCTGGCCCGTAGCCTTAAAGATCACAAGCGTGCTTTCTAATCCGAGATAGCAGGTTCGAGCCTGCGTAGGGACAGGCCGACCCTCACAGTATCATTAGCCCACATGCGACCGGTCGTGGTTGCGCGGCAGCGAAGCATCGGTTCTGCGTACAGGTGTGCTGTTGATACCCCCTCTGCTTGTTGGTTTTGCTCGAGACTGTCCACTTAATAATCACATTTGCAACCGATGCAACAGAAGTGGTCATAAAGAGTTGTGTTGCTTGGCAGATGGTCTTACTTTGACGAAGAAGAAGCGTAACAATGTCACATCGTTCAGACTGCCCAATCGGATCAGGTCGATCACCGCGACTTTCAAAGTTGCTGAGGTCAACAGTCGTGAGTACATGATGGCGGAAATCAGTGGCATACAAGTGAAATTACGACTTGATACTACTTCAGATATCACTCTCTCTATCGCGACACGTGGCGCAGGCGGGGGTAGCCGACACTTACAAACGATATGAATGCTTCAGGTACATTAAAATTGTTTAGTGAATTGAACTGTCAAGTCATTTTCCTGGGCAAACATCCACACAACGTGCTTTGTGACAGACCGACCGGGGTTACATTTGCTGGGACTCGACTAGATGAAGGAGTTGAAATTTGCTTGATCAGCCAATAAATAGTGTATGCCAGCCACCGCAAGTCAACTAGTTGTCGCAACCATCGATATCAAGCCCATCGGTTCAAAGTCAGATTACGAAGCAATGCTCCAACCTGGTCTCGGATGCTGCAGAATGACCAGTGCTGCTCTGAACCTCAAGTCAGAGGCTAAATCAGTATTCGGACCAAGATACCCTGTGCCGAACGCAAAGAAAGAAAAGCACTACAGTTGTCGTGTGGAGGAAAATCTGAAAAACGGAGTTCCTCATTTCAAAAATGGTGACATGGTGTACGCGCAAGACTTCCGAGGATCGAGGAGTTGGGCGACAGAAACGGTGGTCGTCAAAAGTGGTCCAGTTATCTACGAGCTAATTGTTGCAGTCCGACTCGAAAGCGGAGACGACCACAATGGCTGCAAACTGACCCAAGAAGAAAACCTATGGACAAAGTCGATTTCGAACGGTACGCAAGCACAATCAATTTGAAAGAGTGGGTATTGGGCGGCCGCAACGGATGAACGCCGCGACACTGTTTCGAAACACGAGTTGAGCTTACAATAGCTCTCGCGGAAAGCTGACTGACTCAGTTCGTCATCCACGACATACATTGCTGCGCCATCCAGGGCAGCTGACGGAGCCAGTTCCTCATTGTGGCGCGGGTTGATACGGCGCACGCTTGAACGTGGCTATAGCCAGACAATGGAGATCGCTAGCATGTTCGAACCCGTCTGGACAAGTTACGTCAATCCGCCCGGCAACGCACAGTCGGATGTGAGCGCATGTGACCTATAAAGTTAACCATGCTCTGTCCCCAATACACACCGGTCTAGCAGGTCTCGTATTCTGTTTTTTCCCTGGTTGGGTTAGTGGTGCCCCAAGCAGAGGCAAGGAAGCGTTGCGACACAACCGCTGTGTCAAGACCTGCACGCAGAGCTCAAGGGCCCTGTAATCAAGACGACATCTGTCAAACGCTGTGCCGAGCTCCCCCTCCAGCTCAGGCTCTCTTCCTGATGGGTTCAAGCGAGGCCGAAATGCGTCGTGAAGTGCTGGGATATTAGAGAGCAACACCGAAACCCTCCATTTCGGTGACGGTACAAGTGATCGGAATGGCATAGTCTGACTACAAAATCAACCGTGACCACAATTGAGATTGCGTGTCGCAATCCAAAACATACGGTGGGTGTTCCAAAATCCAACAATCAGCAGTCTTTGTAATTGTGAGAACTTTTAATCATTTGAACAAAAGATGATAATACAATGCGTGTGAACATAAAGTAACCGAAGTAATTGTTGCCATAGCAGGGAACTACGAACATCGTCGCTCCTTAATCAAACTCAATCGTAATAGTGGGAACTGAAGTGGAACGTTCGTCCATCACGCCTTCCGCCACAATCCTCCTAGCTGGCCTGCTCGTGGGAAATTACATGCTGCAAATGCTGGTGGGGGTGTAAATTTGGTTCTTCTGTTATCAAGCAAGGGAGGTGATATCCATCCGAAGTTCATTGGGAACGGTTGGTAAGGCATGGACTGTGAACTGTGGCACATTCTCAAGGGTGGCGTCCCCGGTTCTCGGTTTATTGGATCGCTTAGCGCTGCAGAAACCTGTCGTAATCGAGTTTCCATTGCAGCTTTCGCTTTTTCTGTTTCAATTAGAACCGCGCGCATTTCAGCTTCAACCTTGGTACAAGAAGACAAGACATCAGTTAAAAAGAACGAAAAATACCCGTATGCTATAGCTATGGAGGGTAAGCCAAATTGTAGTGTGCAGCAAGGTCTAGAGTTTTCTTCGTACTACGCGCGACATTTTGGACTAGGTTAAGGAGTCAGCTTTGATCTAAAGATGTACAATGTTACTATGCTCTTAATCATCTCATCATTTGTTCCCAAAGTGCATTTTAGTCAAACAACTGTGATCCGGGCACCGAAGTGCGGTGGATCCAGTTGCTACGAGTCACTTGGCCAGAATAACAATAAATAGCAACAGTAAAAATGAGGTTGAACGCAAATAGAATGTAAAGATAGTGGAAGCAAGCAAGGTGGTGCGCTAAACTAATAGGAGTTGAGAGAAATTTACCAGCTAGATGCGAACGCTACTGACTGCGTTCTGTCCGACAGGGTCTCTAACCACTGGTGTGAACCATCCCAGGGGCTCTCTTCCACGAAAAATGATGGCCACCAGCCTGACCGAGTCCCTTAGTCAATTTCTCATGCATCTATGCCACGTCAGCCACTGACCACCTCGCGGTTTAGCCCAACTTGGTGTAGACACAGCGTATGATGCACGCAGAAGCCGGTCAACGGGCATACAGAGGAAACCACCTAGTCAACGTAAGCAGTTAAGATTAAGTAAAAAGGAGTGAGGCACAAAAAAGCTTCTCGCCGACTTCAACATTCTCATCTAGGGCAGTACCCCGCAAGCACCGGTAATCAAAGACGGTCAATAGATTAATGTCTTCACCGCGAAATGGCCATGTCTCTGATTCATAGAGTAACAACGGCCTTGTCGCAGCGTTGTACACCCTACCCTTCTCTGACATGTTGATGTCTCACTGCCTCCACAGATGATTAGGTGTTAGAAAAGCCACGCGGGCCTTAAATAAAAATAAGTTGTGTCGGCTGTACGCCGTAACGGCGATTGGCTACCGTGCGACCACCACTGGTCGCACGCGGACTGAGTAGACCGCGAAGACGCCCACCCATACGCGAATTCGAACTCGCGCCACAAGATTACGAGACAAACTCGTTACCTCTAGGCTACGGGCCTTGATCATACGCGAGATAACTTTCTCACTACCAGAAATGATATAACTGCTAGAGTACGTGAACAGATCCACCACTTCGTGGTTGTTCGATAACAGTCCAACTCGGTGTCTTATCTATCCGGCGCTGCAACAATACTTCGTACTGTGAAGGTGCAAAACACATGCCGAAGCATGAAACGCTAACGCGTCGGTCTGTTCCGGAGTGATTGCATAACGATTGCATCAGACCCAAAAGGAGCTATGTTGTCCACATACTCAAGGTTTGTTAATCAGTCACCCGACAGAACTTCCATTCGAGAAGAGTCTGAGGGAATAGAGTCTTACACCATCAAATTGACTACAGAATTGAAGAGTAAATAGGGTATAGCACAACACTCGCGAACTCCACTTTTCGTGGGAACTCAAGAGAGCTTTCCATCGACTTTTACCTGACTCCGACATTCGCGGTGGAGAGACTGTTGAGGAAAAAGAAGTTTCCGACCACACTCTACACGGATAGGCAGTGACATGAGCTGGCACGATCATGATTCGAACACGGCTTCCAAGTCTAGGATAACCATCTTAGTTGGTGTCTTTAAATGTATTTCTGCTCTTACACTTGACGAAGAGTAGACATATTGTTGATCCAACGACGACCAGGGTGGAAGTTAGCCTGGCGTTCGGTGATTAGGCTATCACGAGGACTAGTAAGTTGTCAGTGATACCCGTTAAAAGTTTGGAGACAACGGGAATAGGGCTAATGACTGATTTTTCGCACAAAGTACCCTGACCCTACTTGAAGATGGGCATGACAGATGACAGTGGCCAGTCTGAAGGCACCTGTTCACTGTCACAAATCGTGTTGGATAGAGCAGCAAATCCAGTCATCAAAGATGGAGTAAGGTTGTCTTGTCCAAGAGCCTTGATTTCTTTCAACACGGCACACTCGTCGAATCTTTTCGGAAGTGAGAAGTGCAACATCAAGTTCTCACGTCGGTTCAGGTGATCCAACAAATGGCAAGGTCGTAGCAGGTCTACTGACCTACCTTTCAAGATGTTTCGCCCAACAACCTGGTCGACGCGAATGAGAATGGATCAGCTGTTCATCCTTCTCAGCTATTGTCTCACTAATGAAGGGATTTCATGGACTCCTGCTCCAGATGAGTTGACACAGCATCTCGCGGTTCTCAATAATACTGGTCTGACACCCAGTGATATACTGTCGGATATATTTCTAGCCGGTCTTCGTTTAGTTAGTCAAATGAGTATGGTTGAGTAAGGATATCTACGGGATCTTAAAACCCTCAAAGTTATGAACTTCTAGTAGCAATGCACTGATTGGCATGTACATCATCAGAGAAATTATCCTATTTTCAATATTGAGGATGAATAATTTGACATATTGGGCAGACACCACTGAAGGTCGTTAAAGTGCGAAATGCAAGAGCAACCCTATTGTCACTCTGAAAAATGATCGCGCTAGCTCGATGATAGTATGTTTCCATCCATAGGTCCTGTGATTAATTAATCCAATGTATTTAGTGCTTTAGCCGGTGTAGCGTGGATATAAATTGGTCATGGATACGCAGAGACGTTGGCTTTATACTTCGTATTGTAAGATGGCGGCAGGTGAGCGCTGGTTTGGACTTAACTTCTATGTGTTTGGACTATCGAGTGCCCTCTCAGATTCTCAACCAGAGTTTGTATGAGTGAAAAACGAACTTCCAGGCTAGCTATGAGCCACTCATCCGTGATATTCATAGTTGGTCTCTTACTGTTACATATAATTTCCATTAACAGGTCGTGCCGTATAGAAGTCCGATATCCACCAAACGATTCATCCGGCGTTCTTTTGGGTATACTCCAGAGCATGGTGTGGTTTTTGTTCTGGTAGATTTCCCATCGAACAAGGGATTTAGCTAAATAAACTAGTGATGTTTGGTGTGTCACGTTTGACAAATCGCACTCTTCCACACTTACATCAGCCACGCGACTTTCGCAGTTGGAGCGCAACTGTTCTGCTTCTTCTCGCACAGCGGACATGGCAACGTCCTTCGACTCGGTGACTGCTTGTAACTGCTGTCGAAATCCGGCATCCATGAATTCCATTTGGCCGCGTAATTCTCTGAGGAGGGGGTTGACAGCGTAGAGTTGAGATTACTGTTTTGCGAGTTAAACTAAACTACTAGAGCCAACTTATAAACGGGTAGAAAAAACAACGGAAGTGCAGAGAGATACAGCAGGTTGATGCAACAGCTGGTTAACATGGGTCTTAATATGTGCAGGTATGCTCAAACCTTTCACATCGACTGCCGCGGTGCGTAGAAATAGGGCGACGCAAGATACTACCCGTGCCATCACTCAACGGGAGCAAAACCATTATTCATCATGGTTAATGAAACAGTGTCTCGATTGCACGGCGCTCGCCCGAACGGTTAAAAACGATGCATCTACAGTATCGATTCTGATAAGCGACTTGTTTACGGTGCTCAACTGACCGAAAACGATCACTCTAATTGTATCTTCATCGTCCGAACGAGTGATGATTGCTGTCGAAAAATACGACTGGTTTGCCCTACGGTGGGTGGGGGGAAAGGCGTTGTTAACCAAAACCTGTTAACTGGATCTGAGATATCCAACCAAAACGCTCACTATTGGTCGTTCGTTAGAATCCGTCCGACTAAATCGTGCCTGCTGAGTACAATCCGGGCTTCATAAAAAGCCGTGATGTTAGATTCGGTCCCCCTAGAGGCGCGCATAATTGGTCCATTTTCCACCAAATTGTATCCATTCAGAAAGCTAAGCTCATTTATTTTCGGCAGCCATGCACTTGATTTTTATTGTGTTGAACCACTACTGAATTAACCAACAAATTTTCATAAATGTTATCAGCCATCTCATTCACCGCACCTGTTGTTTTTGGTTAATCGAGTGCACACTTCACGCATGTGAGCAACTGCCACAAATGTCTTTACTTCAGCGCTGTGCATTCCATTTGGGTTAAAACACGCGAGATAAGTTGCAACGGAGGATTCAAACCAAATACTGGTGATTGACTATGCAGGGGATTGGCACGGCTTTCTCCACATACATTAACCTCGATATGACGCCATGATACCGCTCACCCAGGCCTGACGAGTTGCTCGGTAGCGTCACTTCATTTAGCTGACTATGACCCGCACGCAGCAGTAGAGGGGGATCCGCTTGTCATAACCCGCGTTGTCATACTATTATGGCGGAAAGTAACCTCCAAAACGCAGACAAGAATTTGGAGGGATAGAAAAAGGGAACCAGTACGAACATTAAGTGGAGAAGTTAATTAAGAGAAGTACTAGATCAAATAAGGAGAGCCGCTGGATTCGCAGTTGTTGCTTCTTGTCAGCAGTCTCTGGCCATTGATAATGACGACATGCAGCAGCAGACCATATATTTCGACCAATCTCTTCATACTTCTTATCTGTGTAGTCAGTAGCTCATTCTACCATCAATCGTAAACAAAAACAGCAGTACGTCGTCGCTACGCCTCACTGCCATAACGAATATACTAATGAGGATAAAAAGAGGGTGAGAAGTGGGATATTGTGTAAACATAAATGCCCTAGGCGTAGATTCGGAGTCAAGACGCCTACATACTGTCACCATCACATAATCGCAAACAACTGGCTAGCATGAGTAGGATGGCACCATGATACATCCATTGGACCTTTCACTGTCCCATCTAGCAACCAATCCTAACCCGCAGGCAATGGCGCCACGCGTTTTTTTAAAAGGCAGATCGGCCAGTAGGCAGTAGCAAATACGCCATTAATGCTGACTGCGCATTCATATCCCCTTCAACAACTATGATATCTGAACCCATAACACTGCGCAATAGCGTGTTCAATTCGTGGTAGGGAGCGTCCTTCGCAGCATCAGAGCTGCACTCGGTGGGAGCATAAGTGGAAACCACAAACAAACAGCGTCTATATATAGTGCTACTTCGTGAATCAATCTTACTTGATGTAGTGAGTTGGACTGCACACAAACGGCTGTTCACGGAAATCCAATCAACCAACGATGACTCAGCCTTGGAACGATGCCACTCCGGATGCGTGCAACCGGTAGCGTGAAGACAAGCCGGGCGCAGTTATTTCAACAACCCCGTGAGCGTCGTTGATCTTAATTTCGGATACGCAACACACGCCAGTACCCAGTGTATCTAAACTGCGTGCGAGTGCAGCCAGTTGACCTATTTCCCTGAGAGCGAAAGCTTAATGCCGCCAGGGAAACGGGACAATGCGGTCTCATAAGGAGCTGTTGGCGATTAGTGTCCAGTGGGTGGTGCGGGAAAATAGCTACAGATGGTATGACTCCAATGACATAGCGGTTGCTATCAATTAAACTAGGGATTATAGAAGACGAGTACTGCGGACTAAGAGTGGAGTAAAAAAACAGGTAGAAAGACAAAGAAGTGAGGTGCCAGCAGTAGCATATTTTCACTTATCCACCTTGCTGTATGCAACAGATAAGGCGACCCTTGATATGCTGCGCGAGGGCTGATGCTGGATATGGTTGAAGTTTGAGGAAACGGACATGGTTGTACGTGGGCTGAGATACTGCCAGGGCGCCCAAACCTGAACAGGAGAATGATTAGGGTCCTCAACCAAATCTTTGGCTCAAAAACCTGTCCGTAAGGCTGCGGATGTAGCAACGATTCGGTTTTACAGAAATGGACGCCATCTCAACAAAACCTCGAACTTGGAGCATCGTGAGACTGTTTTCTGACCTTCAACCTGGTAGGAGTAACTTTTAAGTAGCCTAAGGGCCCCACGCAGTATAGCTCAATGGGTCGAAGAGGTACGCAAAGCTTCACACTACGGTAAGGTCCAGTGTCGCTGTGAAGTAATTACCACCTGAGTACGGTATTATTAGCGGGATCTCGCAATCGGCGACCTGGTATCAAAGTCTTTTGGGTTACCAACTGTTAACATTGTCGCCGATAACCCACCTCATAAGTGTTTCATGGCAACATGACTGGCAAACTTTGAGGATGGGAAAAGGTGTTCGGTGCGACGTTTTGTGGAACCATGAGGCCCCCACAACAAGACCACACGCATGTAAGTCTCATCCTCACTAAGTCCTGCGATTAGTAGAAAAGCGCGGCCAAAATACATGAAATTAACATTCGTCCCCGGCTCCTCGTAAGCATGGCTCACAGATAACACCTGCACTTGATTCCGTAGGTGCCAAGCTCATGCCAACAGATGGGGTGACAATAGAGAGTCCAATCAGAGTCACCTGTACCGAGTAGTTACCACCAAAAAGCAAGATGATTTTGTCTGTACAATCAAGATTAACCGGTTTATCATTAGGCAGCGCGCTGATACATATGCGATTGCGTAGGGAAATCTTCCATGATGGAGTCCACAATGAGGTTGAGCAAAGGTGGTGAATGCCATTTGTTGTTGGAAAGACATTTGGCAATTATCCACAGGTCCTGCACGACTTGTGATATTTGAATGTGGAGCACGTAGGGTATTTACATGCTTTATGTAAACATCATTCTGGAGAGAGATATCGAGCAGTGCGGCGGTTGAATGAGTTGTACACAGTTTTGTAAACGACGAACAATGCTACGGTAGGCATGAGAGATGTGCGGCGATGCTTTAATGCCTACCGCTGAGTAAAAAATGATCTGTGCAGTAAGAGAACATTCCAACTCCCTTCTAACCTAGGAATACAAGACTAATATGGGGAATTGAGTGGTATAAGTAGAAATCTATACCATCTAGACCCAGTTAGACAGCCATCACACGTCTGGAAAATCCCTATACAGCTGTTTCATCTTTTCGGGAAAGGTCAGCAGCACACATTCCAGTTAACCTGTGTGGAACTAGAACCTACAACTCGACTGTTACCAATCCATGATGAACACCACTGAACTGCGGGTTAGGGTTACAACATACATGACTAAGTTACGAAATGTGGCAGCGCCGCTCACTATCCACTGACTTGCACACTGCTGTTGTGCAAAAGGCAGGGTACCCCGTCGCCGAGCAATGAAGCAAGGTGGCCAACGAATAAATTGAACCCAGTATGTAGGCGCTAGCATCCAAGTTGATCGTGATCAGGCGCTCTAGAATCCCGAACTGGAGGCACAAGAACCACGAACACAACTGGCTGTAAACTCTCACAGACATGAGGAGATCAGTGGTGGACATGTTAAGAGATCCAACCTCTATAAGTACGGTTTTAGTATATTTGTGGTGCATTCATTCATATGTTGTGGCACTTTTTCGAGTTCCAACTGCCGTGCGTCATTCACGAATAACACAACAACATACAACGTGAACGGACAGTTTGGCTAAGAGATTGCAACCAACAGACTATCGGTTCGGTTGTACGTCGTGTTCTTCAATATGTCCGGATATCTGTTGAGTGCACCATGCAAACCTCTACCGGAAAACGGAGACAACTACAGAATCCAGGTCATTTGGCTCTATTTTTCGCGATCGGTGCATGTGCGCGGTACGTGCTCAAACCGTTATGCACTAGTCTAGTGAATTAACATTATCATCAACGCCCGACACTCGGCTGCGCAGGTCGTCGTTGTGGACACGTTGGTACTAAGTTAATCGAGGTGTACTCCACATGCAACGATGGTCTGAAAATGCCCGGGATCGTACAACAAGGGACACTAAGTCCCACTGCTGTAAGGAGGAATGGCTTTCATTCTGGCCATGCATATGCGACTTTCGAAACCTGAAAGTAGGATATCGTAGAATATGGAATTTGTTAACAACTATCATTCAATTTTCGTAGACCAAAGAGAGGACCGGTAGACAAAGAACCTGTTGTAACGCTGACCTCGCCTCTGCTGTCTAAGTAACTACTCTGCTCAGCCGGAGACAAAAACAGTACACCTAAACATGCCAGCAGACACAGAACACGGTTCAGTTTATAGGTCACAATCTCCTGCGCTGACTCAAGTCACTTGCCCTGTACGGATTTCAATCCTGCTTGCGCCCTGTCACGTATCAACCTGGTTCATACTGACGGTTTGATTTCCTCAGCTTCCCGCGTGCCTTAGCCGTGTTACCGTCGTTCGGGTAGCAGCCAGCGTGATAACAAATGGATTTCATCAGCTTCCGGTGTGATTCAGCCCTGGTACAGCCGGTCGGGTAGCCACCCCCGTCCCGATGATAGGCATCTCGAAACCGTGTCACATCCTTATGCTGCGGACTCCGATTAGAATCACAGGTCCTATCAATGCTGTGATACACTACGAATGACAGCTATTTGCGAAAATGTTTTTTCTTCCCATAGGGTGCGATTCGAGATCTTGGGAACAGTTTCACAACGTAAATTATGGAATGAATAGTGTAAAATTGGTGTTCGGCAACAATGTTCGAACAAACAAACTCAGAGTTAAGCTATTCCCTTAAAAATTGCAAGTCAACACCAAATTTGCCATGAAGAGTTTAGTTCATCCGTGGATTGTCTTGATTTTGTGAAAGAAAGCTTCTTTGGGCACAAGAGGAAAATAATCAGACGTCTTTCCACCGGTTTTATTTCAATTCAATTCAGTTAAACAACCATGATTCGAACACCCTGAATTGCAGTGGATCCAGCTGTCACGACTCGTGTTGGCAGGTTAACAAAACGACAGTAAGAGGAATGAAGCGGAACGGAAAATGAACGCAGAAAAAAGGGGCTAGGAAGACGGTAAATTTAACCGAGATGAAACCTTAACAGCTAGATGTATGAAATCGAATGCAGAAACCCTGCTGTATGCGTAGTTGCGCCATCCGCGTTAGGGTCTCCAGGTACAGTCCAACCTGCTATGGCGACCAGCCAAAAACATCCCCAACGTTTTCTCCCATGAGTAATGTCCCTATGCATGAACCTGTCTATGACGACCACTTTTTGTTGGTTTCTCGAGTTTTCGTTTTAGACAGGTTTGATTGGTTCGTTGCCTAACACATCAAACAAGTCTCTAACATACCTTTGTTGTTCATTTGTGCCACGTCATTGACTGGCCACCTCTTCGTTTCGCCCAACTTGGTGTAGCGGTACCGAACAGTGCACGCCGCGAAATGAAGCCAACACGCATACTGAGGGCCATGACGTAGCCGACGTAAGCGATTCGAGTTAAACAAACAGTCTAGTAAGCATTAACTGGTAGACCTCAGCATTGTTCATCAGATGTGAGTCCACAGACGCGTGTTTCACTTTAGTGTAATTTCTTTTTTTGAACCTACGTAATTAATACAAACCATCCCATGAGACCCGTCGAGGCTTTGCGTTTTCATCCGTATTATACCAGTGTAAATTGAATAAACCGCTTTTATTGCCCTCGGATGTGAGTTTCAATCTCCACCTGTTCCAGTGCTTGGAAGAACATTTTTACTATCTGGTGGGAAGGCACCTGAAGAGTTTCGTACACGATGCTTTCGATTGTGACATGTAAAATGTGTTATTAAAGAGCAACCACATCGTAGCAGCAAAATCGTCTTACTTTATTTGTTCTTGGGCCTTATCGCGCTCAGTGACCAGTTCTTGCTTCTCGTGCTCCCAGCGGTGAGTCATCTGCTCCATTTGCTTCTCCAGTTTGTCCAACAGAGTGGAACGTTCACGCCATCGATCGCTGAGAGACCTGTGTGTGCAGAGAGGAAGTGGACGAGTGCGATCAGTGTGGACCCCACGGGCAAGTGTTGTAAAGCGAAAGGGACAGAGAACGACTGAGTGCTACAAAGACTCGTACGTACTCATTTTGCGTTTGAAGTTCTTCTATTCTTGACTCTAGCACGGTGACGGTGTCTTTAAGCTCTTCCTTGCGTGCCACAAGCCGTTCTATCTTCGTCTGAAATGGGCGCGATGTTCTATACAGTGGATGTGAACGTTCGGGTATACTTCAATCTTAACTTGGGGGATAGAGAACCTAAGATGAAACTGCGATTTCCTGCAAACGCACATTTAGCGCCAAGATCATATGAACACACTGGGTAATACGTAGCCAACGATGCAGATCCTGTGGAAAATGCAGTGCTCATGAGTTGTAGCGTAACACGGAGCGCTTAGTGCAGAGTATAGGTTACCAGAAATAGTGTCCCATGAGATGTGAGTCGCGTTGTTCAAGTTTATGCAGCTCCCTTTTCTTAATCACCGGTAGTTTGATTTCCAACCTGACGTTTGCGCAAACATTACTTGATGAGGACTTGAAGCAATTAGTGGACACGTACAAAAACAAAGTCGGCTGCTTCATGCACCGTCGTTAAAAAAGTGGACGTAAAAATAAACCAGATAATATATGGAAACTAAGGTTCCATCGATAATAATGGGGCCAACAGAACAGACACCACTCACATCCGTACACGAGACCAGATAACTATGGTCCTTTGTGGAGTTCTGAATTCCACAGTGCTCATCCCTAAGTGTGCTTCGTGACACGTGTGCACACACATTAAAATATCAAAGACAGGAGGTCGCAGGTGCTCCGTGTTGCTAACCTACTTTTAGTGAACATGGTGCTAAGCTGGAATTCGATTGAATAATACCCGAAGATTTGAGCGTGACGGTGGTCGGGATTCGTTCCGTGCAGTGCTGCGCATTTGCCAAACAGCCCAGATGAAAACAAGTTGGATTTGCCAAAGCTGTACAAGTGAGTGGCAAGTATCTAGGGTCCAAGCCACACGGTGAAGGTAGGAATCTTACATTATGCGGCATGAAGAAATGTAACAAATCGCACACCATCATCAATGTACACGTTAGCTAGAGGTGGGAAACACCTCAGCTACTGTGCCGCAATACAGAAAGGAAAAGGAAAATAAATACAACAGTTGCATGCCAGCTGAGCTACCAGCAACGGATAGGCATCGTTCCGGTAAGCTATCAGCCGGCTACTAGGCAAAAAGTCAGTCATGGTCGAAAAGCTCAGCGCAGGTTTGATTTGGATGGTATTCGTAGGAAAGGTGCATCTGACCGACAAAAATCAACTACTGCGACTGCGGTTCGACATTTCTAGTTGTCAAAGGTACCAGAGTTAACCCAGTAATGAAAATGGACATAAAACCTATGATCCTGAAGAATCTTGTGTAGTGACAGTCTCTTTGAGGTTCGATGTACACTTTGCCTCGAGACCAGGTATCGGAATGAATGCGGTAGTCACCGTAGAAATGGTCCGAGCACGGATCGTTGAAAGAGGGGGGCTTGCTACTAACCTTGATAGCATCGCCACTCCTGACTGTTGTTTTAGCCTTGAGCAACCCGGAATCTGCTTCATAACCGGCTCTCGAGCATTCATATTAGCATACATCCCTCAACTAGCGCATAATCGCATTGCGGAAGTAGGATATTCCGCTAGTGCCCATGTTAGGTGTGCACAGCACGAAAACGGGCGACGCTGAGCCCTGCATTGCAACTGACATTTCTCCACTCAGTCACTGTTAGGCTCATCACACATCTCAACGAATATCGATAAGTGAGCGGTCTCTCGAAGAGGTCCAAGGAAATATCTTTGCTACCGCGTTCTCTTGCCGCTACTTAACGCGTTAGTTCCTGGGACAAGGTGCACGTTCGCATTTTAATACAAACTCTTCAAGCTGATATTGAACCATATACATCCCCTGGGTGTATCCTATCTTCATCATTTACGTTATATCAGCAACACTGGGGTGTACATCAGACACATTGTGCGCACAGATTTTGGCATCTTTAGAGCCCCACATTGCGCATACAAGGAAGTTCCAGCACGGAGTGATGCAGAGTTGTTCTTATTGATAGCGATAGCATATATAGCACACGTTTGATATTCCGTACTGTTTCATTCAGAGGGAAGTGCATCTCATAGCGAGAACTTCCACGGAAACCACACTATTTACGTAGTACTGAGCGAGAAAAGTGATCGAACGAGTTATGTTGAAGCCGATAGATAACTTGTACCGGTAACGCTTAGGTTTCCTACTTGGTGGGAACGAAAGCGGTCGAGCAAAAGACCCGTGAGCAAATAAAACGCTGCGGTTTACTCATTTTTGAGCAGACTGTGTGATATGCTCAAGTATCGGAGCAGGTCTATGGGGCCCATTTGTGGTTTCCTGTTATATAATCAAGTCCTTGGCAACCCGGTAACCATTTAAAAACAACCCACTTTGTCACTGTGGTCTTGTTACCGTTACCGTGGGATGTCTTCGCTGTTAACAATAATATGGGCATTCGTGCCTTTTGAGGCTTTTAGGTTCTCGTGTATTCCAAGCAACATATAAACCTATCAATATCCAGTAACTGCCACGATGACACATTGAAACTTCTCTACAGGTTTTTGGATTCCTGCATAAATTACTGCAATTAGAGTAGCAGCAATTCGCAGTGTGATGAGACTGAAAGGGAGACATTTGATTTGAGAGATGGAAATCAAACACATCGACCATAGGACGATTTCACGCATAAGTTCCACCGCAGATCGGGTATTCAGGCAACAACGAGTGGTTACCACCGAAATATCTTCGGAGTTGATAACGGTGAATGTATTGCACGGCGAGAGAACTTATCAATCAACTGTTTACCAGATTTTCTTCGCTGTTCTTTTGCAGATGTCTGATTTGTTCTTCCATCTGTCGTTGTGTGGCCAGCGCGTCCTCCTGTATCCGTTTCATTTCTGTCTGGTTATCCATTAACCCCTATATAGTGCGGTAAGAGGAAAGAGTTTGGATTAGAAATTGGTGGATCAAACTACTTGTGAAAAATGTTCGCTGCAGCTGTGGCCTATTATCTTATAAACTTATCCCTCTTGCCTCTGCTAATACTCTAAGCGCCTGTCGCGTCAAAAGAAGACTACACATGAACACACAGTCGAATAGCGCATATGTATCGTAACGTTGAGACATCTTGGATGAACGGACATCGGGTTACATAAAGGTGAAGGATCAAAAAGAATAAGTCTATTCGCGAGTATTTATTTCTGCGCACCATAGTGATAGCCAAGATGAAGTGGTTTTCTGCACATAACTCGAACAAGCACGTAGGTAGAAAAGCACTGTTTACACTGTAACCCATGTTCCGTTCCTCACCTTTCTTGAGAGTAGACCAGGATGTGTTACCAATATCTAACTGATGCACTTTAATTGCTGAAGGTGATAAAATGTTTACCAGTACGATAGAGATGAGACTTGTAGTGCAGCTGAACATCATAAAGACAAAATAGATTGACACTAATTCACCAGTTCGGGTCTCAAATGTTTTGTGTCTGCTCGTGGTTGTGATTAGCAGAAGAGGATAAGGGACCAGGCGCTCCAGTGTAGGGAATCGGTCTAAGATGCTGTCATCGATCCTAAGAGTCTGTTACTCGTCAAACCAGTCGTCTCACCTTTTTCAAATTTCGGATAGTCTCCACATGGTCGTCCACCATTTTTGTCTTGATTTTCACACAGTCGACTTCAGTCTGAAAGAATATTATGGAGGAGAATTGCGTAACACAAGGCCCAAGTTGAAAATGACAATACGACCAGCGTTTTGCAAATATTTTATCCGAAAGAACGAAACCTTGTATGTGAAATGGGTTGGTTGAATGGGATTAGGAACGGTGTCACACGGCAATTGGCGGCCCAGCTTGGCTGGTTGCCTAGGCTTTAAACATTGTACAGCGGAATTGCGATAGCTCCAGCAGTCGTCGGTTCCTAGTCACCGACAGAACCATGCTATTCGTCTTGTGGTGAATTCAATCTCAGTGGGACGAGGAAGACTTCAGGTAACTGCTGATTTACCCTAATCAATACTGCTTGCCCGTTCGGCGCCGCGTACAAACCTTGTGGGCATGAAAGTAAGCTCCAGAGTGGCGACAACGTTGATGGATTTTGGACCACTCACACGAAACACATAAGCACAATTTGAACCGCGTTTTACTTTAATCTACGCCTCGTTCATTCCGACCGATGGGAGTGTATTATTTGTGGACAGTTTTCCATGCCGTCTTCATAGTTGTTGGTACTTTACAATTATAAATAGCAGAAATGCGACTCAGAACAGTGACACAGAGTGCGGTGCGGTGTTGGAGGCGATGATACTAACGTAACCGAATATAGATGGACGTGATATTACAGATTGGTTTTATCATCAAAATGGTTACAATATTTGAAGATAAAGCAAAATTTTATGATCGGATAACAACTATTGTCTATTAACCTCACTAATATCAAAAACATGAATAACAGTTATGTAGGTCGGTTTACTTCTAAACTCTTCTTCAAACTGGCGATTTCCAGGGTCTGTGCTTCGATTTTAGCTTCCAGTCGCCCACGGTCTTGCGACAGTGCCGAACCTGAAGATAACGGACGCCGAATTTTAAACGCAGTCATGAGTCTAAGGCAGTTGAGGATTTGGACAAGATCGCCACCGGTGACAACATATAGAACACAGTTACAGAGGAAACCATTGGCGGGAGGCTTTTAGGTATTTACTGGTAACTTATTTATTTCCTCAATTTAATACCATTTCTAAAATCTGGTCAGCGTTATAGAAGTCGACGATCGACGACATTGTGTTGAGGTCGGATGTCCTTACGTATTGTTAGCGAAAAACTATATTCGCCATCATGGTTCAAATTGGGATAAGTGCCCACGGGATAAACGGGCGTCGCATGTGTGTCATTGACGAATTTTATGTAGCGCCCTAAGGTCGCTAATAATCAGTTATGTAGGCTCGACTCTGATACCGGATCTTGTGATGTGACGCGTTTTATTTAGAATGAGTAAAAGGACGTATCGTGTATCCCACCCAAAGCCACAATAAACTCTTGGTACGGATCACAAACCTGCTATTTACGAAACAAGAGATCATCGATATTTTAAGGAAGTTTGAAACGCTATTTCACTTCACTATGGCGTCTTGCGCCGTTCGTCTATGCGTACTGGCCAGCACGCGCAATTCATCCACAGTGTTCCGCACAAATCACAATGTAAAGTTACGTTGAATTCCACACTGGCTCTTGAGATTATGGCTGCCTAATACAAATTCCGTCCAGCAGTCATGCGTGGGCTTCTTCCGCTCACTGCACTCCGTGTCATCAGTCTGGGTTCGTTGGCACACACACACACACGTGGTGTCCGCCCGCTGCTGATCGTGCCAATCCGCTTTCTCCTACCCTGTAACTAAACTGCGTTTCGTTCGCGACCTACTGTCACGTCCCTCTGGACCGTACGATCATGATGCGGGAGAGTTGACGACAGACTACTGGCTTCAGCTTCCGCGGGCTACCAGCCACCATCACAGGCCATATGTCAAACTCCCAGTCGCGTATGTTGCTGAGTGAGAAAGGCGCGAAACCACTCCTGAGCACGAGCCTGTTTAGGATAAAGAGAATAACACATGCGATATCACGCCTGCGAAAGCGGACGTTCGAAACAACGCAGCGGCTCGACAACCCATAGAGCGTACTGAATGGTCGTGTGATTGGCTGTCAAAAGCAAGCGGACAAGGTAGCATTCGGATGAAGCAGTGTTTAATGGATCATTACCTTTCGTTGCACATATAACCTGAAGCGGGAAACGTAGAGCGGCGTTACCAAATGGCCATTATGGATGCCTACAACTTATGTCAGGGCGAGTGTCATGATGCAATCTATACTAATCAAGGCTGAGATGTGCAAAAGGCTTCCAAACGTTTGGCGTAAAGGTGTCATGTGTTAGCTCTACCACGCAGTGTGATGCAACTTACCTTGCTTCGCCAGCTCTTCGCTCCAATTCCGGCGCTCAGCTCGCAAACCCATCACGAGGGATTCTTGGGCGGCCAATTCAGCTTTGAGCTGTTTGTGCTCCTAAGGCAAGATGTGGAGATAGAGCAGGCGTCTGTGCAATATGAATCGCTTGATGGAATAACGCACAGTTTGGTGTAACTGTCAGCGCAGAAAAATACGAAGACACTGAGGTTTTTTGTAAATAATAAGTGATCGAAGAACATTCAGCCAGAGTAGGGACGGATTAGATCTGACTGCGACGGTGCCGAGCTCGAGCAAGAAACTCTAGAAAGTGTCTGAAGTCAGTAAAGCAGGTACAAAGCACTGTAGAATTACGGCTGATAGGAAGACAATGGAACACTATTCCTGTCCTGACAATGCATCGAAGACAAACCAACGGAAGCCAGGGCAGAATAAATACCTGATGAATTTTCGTTATAGGCCTCGCGTCAATTGAACTAGGCAGCTAAAGTACATGTCATTATAAAATGAGAACAAAGGGGTATGAAGATGCTGGGAATATGGCGCGATGGCGTCCATGGAATCCAACTGATCTGAAAGCAGCAGGACGTTAATGGAATAGATCCCATAATCATCATCAGCACAAAGTATTTCGTCTGGTTGTCATACAATTGCCCTACCGACGAGAGGAACTCTGACAGATTTAATATAAGACCTAAATGCTCCGGATAAACATTTGAGAGCAGGGCTACTACGCCAAGTCAACACATCATACTTACAAGGTGGCATCGGACAAGTTTTTCCCATGCGACTCACAATATCCAGAGGTATGAGCAACATTGTCCTACGGATAGCTCAGCGTCATGTACACTGGTATGTAGATAACGAATGACGCACCGTCGGCGACCGTCGATTGCGCTTTGCAACGTATCGAGCCATACAGGAAGGGTTGCGGGGACTCCAATTTGAGAGGTGAGATGGGGAAACAGCGACCAATCTAGCACTAAGAGACGTCTTTTCTAGCTGTCAAGTCACTACTGGCTTCCTGTGTACCTCAACCCACACTGAGCGAACAACACATAATGCGGTAAGAGACGAGATGGTCCATGCACAGCACGCGCATAAGTCATAGGAAAATTTTTAGCTTTGCGCGAGGATCTAAAGGACTAGGCTGACCATTGACACAGGTCCTAGCTGTGCACACATTGTTACCGAACAACAAAAGCAGTGCCCCATAGTCTATAATTGTCAAAAATCTGAAAGCTGCTCAGATCTTAAAGTCTAAGGGATCAGGTACCGCAGTGATGGAGGAGAACGGCTGACACTACTACCCTGTACAAGACAAGGGAAATCTCTTCGCGTATTCACAACCGTAGTTTGATCTATGCAATGCGCAGGTTGATTTCGATGGCCAAACACAATTCGCTGCCAGTGCAACTGTTAAAGAGGGTGAATCGATGTACTTCAAGTTCAGAAATAGAGATAAAACACGAGTTGAAATGATGTACTGTTTTCAATCCGTCGCGAACACCTGCTGATGCTGCGACAACGATGGATAGTGTAGACGTCAGACAAGTGATGAGAACTTGCAAGGGTTAGCCGCACCACTTTGCGATTGCTAAGTAGCAAGTAAGTTTGTCACTGAGGGTAGCAAGTTGATCCACCTGCCGTCAGCACCGGCGGCGCATTGCAATTCTTGATTGGTTTGCCTCAGCTGACTACGACATTCGTCTCCTTCCACATATACATGCTCGGAGAAATAGACTAATTGCTTACATAAGATTCCTCCACCATCCCTGCAGAGTAGGAAAGGTTTAATGGTGTGTTGGCATCCCATAACTCAGCCTCTGACACTTGAACACGAAACGGTTCAGTGGTAGAGAGCCAAATGAACTTCTGCCGAAAGCGCCACGCCAAACTAAATAGGCAGTGTTTTTTAGTGTTATACGCGGTTGTCTCACTGACTCATCACTACCCAAGACCAGTGGTGCGGATCAGCTGAAAGAGTTTGCAGTAACTGACTGCTGCACCCGTCCACTATTTTCTGAATTTTCTGAGCTCCGTTTTACCTTGCATCAGAAAGCCCTCCTGAATACATTGTGTTCTCATAGATTCCAGACGCTATCTGCTGGCATCCATAGTCCGGTGTAGTGATCTCTACTAGATCTGCAAGCAGAGATTGCTGCATTTTGTATGGTATCTGAAATCCGGCTCCGATGAGATTCCATGTACTTAGAGCAGTGAGATGTGAACATAGTTTATCAAACACTTGGGCGTACTTGCGTAAGCGACTTCCTGAGAGGGCTCCTCCGTTGGCAATCGAGAAGCCCGCTTGTTGCGCTTCACGATTCTGCTCGAGAGAAATCGGTAGCATACCACATAATACAACGACGCAGTATTTGTTGACGCTATTAAATTGGTTGCGTAGATAATCGTCCACGAGAAATCGATCGATCAACTGGGATCTAGTCCCGGAGTTGAGAATGAGGCCTAACGTAACTAGACCGGTTGTTGCTGCATCGGCAAAGGCGGTCGCATACAACAAATTGTGGGGGGAAATGCAGGAGTACTAGCTCTACACTAACCTAAGAAACACGTACACTAATTTCGCTGGCCCAACACAAAAACACACCAGGATAAAATGTAATCGGTGTGTGCATGCCAGGGTGATCACAACTGACCTATCCGTTTTAGTGTATTCGTGCTGGATGACGCTGATGTAAACAGGCAGTGTGGTTCGATAAGTGGTTGTTGGCTACAGAAGAGTACTGATTCTTGTAATGAAACAGATCCGGATGGCTAAAGGTTAGTATTACTGAGGCTACACTCAATTAGGTGGAAAATACGAGAGGCTTATGGTGAGGATTTGGTTGGTGATGAAAGAGAACAAGGGAAAATACCAGTACAGCTATCAGCAGTATCATGTTTACTCGTATACGCCCTGCTGTATGAAACGGAATCGTAAAGCAAAAGCTCGAGGCGCTTGTGTTAACCTTCGCCACCTATGGCGCCGGCGTGATATCACTCTCGCCCTGAATGGTAGTGTGTACAATGCAGCCGTACGTTCGCCCTTACTGTACGGTTGTGAAGGCTGGCCCCTTAGATCAGCCGACATAAAGAGTCTAGTTACGTTCGACCACCGGTGCCTTCGCAATTTAGCTCACATGGGGTGGGAACACCAATTTAGCAACGAGCGTGTTCGACGCCTTGTTTACGGCACAGGAAAAGGAAATGAACCGTTCAGCACCGTTATTTCACGCACCAGGCTCCGATGGCTGGGCCACGTGTTACGCATGCCAGCCCACCGACTCCTGCGACGTGCGTTGTTTGCGCGCCGGGGGTGTGGATGGAAGAATAGGTGAGGTGGCCAAGCGATAACTTGGTCGAGAGGAATGAAGGCCCTCACTTCGAAGCTGGCCTCGGTTCCCTGGTTAGGGTCCGAGACACGTTTGGCTGGATACACTTGTTGGTATGGCTAGAAGCCGACCTCAGTGGCGTTCGTGCTGTGTTTCTTTGTCCCTTCCCATCCATTTTAGCCTCCCTCTTTAACCAGGATCTCATTGTTTTAGCATACGATTTTGCAAAATAATTTTTTTATGCATAGTAGCCGGCCGGTAGCTTTCCTGAACGATGCCCATCCGTTACTGGTGACTCAGCTGGTATGCATCTGTCGTATGTATTTTTCTTTTTATGCATTGCGGCGCAATAGCTGAGGTGTTTTTCACCTCTAGCTAACGTGCATAATGATGATGCTGTGTGAAGCACATAGAGCGACATTTTTGAAATTGCGCGAGGCTAATATACTATGGCGCAGAGATTTGATGCAGCAGCAAAATGTTGTGTGTGGAATGGGATACTGCCAGAGTGCCGGAACCTGAGTGGGAGAAGGATAAAAATAACCAGACAACATCTTCGGTCTAAAAGTTGACCACAATGTATTATTCCACTCATGATAATCTGATCTGTATTGGCCAAGCTGGTGGTAATAACCCTCAAGATGTCATGTCAACATAGCTTGATAGATTGCAAAGGTGTGCGGGGCTTCGTGCAACGTTGTAAGCGACGCTCGTAACTAAGTGGATCGGACTTCACGTCATGGAACAAGTTTAATGTAAGAGACTGGAAGTGGAATTAAGTGCCACATTGTGCACGTGCGCACCAGCTTCTTCGTTGCTTTCCGTAGTGTTACAGTAAGTCGTTGCTCCACGAACAAGTACCATCTTTGGACATTCGTTCAGCTCATGTCAGTTGTGCAACTTCAGATTTCCACCGGATAGATTTAGCCAGTAATATCGAAATAAGTCGGTCAATTAATGCTCGATTGTTCCCAGAGGCAAATAATGGTGAACTGCACACTCTAACTAATCACTCGGACATTTCCAAACTGCTGACTCCAACTTGTACCACCTCGGGAACCGGTGTACCCAAGGTATCTGTAATGAAACCAAGAATTCGGAATTAAAAAAATGCAACGTATCAGTGACACAATGATATGCTGTTCCGATGCATCACCACCATGCGACTGAGGCACTCAAGTCCCGACAGGAGAGGGGAATCAGAGTCGGAGCACGGAGATTGAAAGCCAGGCACCGGAACTAGTACATCACGATTTACAATGGAAGTTAGCCGGAAAGACACAAATGAAGAGTCACTAGTCGGGTTGGGACAGCGAAATTCCACTGAAACCAAATGGGAAAGCACTTTCTAACGTTTGTTTCAATGCGCTTGGCGACTGCCTCCCTCGGTTCAACTGTGATGTAATACAGTGGGTTCATCTGAAGATCTCTACAAGTATTTCTCAAACTGCAAATGGTTAAACTGACTTATTATGATAAAATCATCTAAGTGGACAAGTGGTAGTAGCGCGGTTTGCAACAGGGGATGGGTGACACCACATAGCAACCAATTACTATGTCACATGGGATTTGTGTACCACCCATTGAGCAATCATCGTCTCTGAGTTAGCGACGAACTGTACCCCATTCCCCCATCATGGCTATAGGACCAGCTCAGGTATGATGAGCGTCTTTTAATTGCCAGTATGTTGCTGGGATATCACACCTAGCCGAAAGACAAGTGCGCGTCGCCCCCAGGTCACGTGAGTGTGACCCGAGATCAGACAAAAGCGGAGAGTAAATGCGCATCAGCCCCAAGGGACGCTATGGCGGCGCGAGTTCGAAAAGCGTGCGAATTGGCGTGTGCACAGGATATGAGCATTCGTCAAACAAGTACGAAAACTGCCTGTTTGTGACAACTTCCCCATACCATTTTTCAATTGATTGCATCCTTACCGCAATCGCAGCTTGCATCCTTAGCGCTACATAGATTTCGGTCATCTGCACGTAGATGCGGATCAGCAACGTGGGGCGGAAGCACGGGCTTGCTCACGAACTCGTTCCAAACCTCAAAGCTCGGGATGTGAAGGTAAGACGAATCTGGCAAGTTCCGGACGAACAGTGACATGACATTGGACATGTCCGGGACAAGGGGTCACGCCTCCTGGCTTGATCGAGCCCGTTGTGAATGAAGTCAAAATGGTCTCACAAAGAGGACTTGAGCGAGCAAACGAGATGTTCGTTTGAGACGAGAGGACAGGTGAGGCACGGATGACCAGAGGGAACAATGTTTGACTTCATTCACGATGGGTTCGAGCCAGCAAGAATGCGTGAACCTTTGTTTCGGACATGCTCAATGCCAAGTCTGCGTTCGTCCAGAACTGTGCTAGCTTTGCCTTACCTTCATATCCCAGGCTTTGGCGTTTGCAGCCAGTTCATGAGCAAGCCACTGGTCCCACCCTCTTATTGTCCAATGCTGATACGCACTCAGTAGGTGCATTAGCCCCAGATAGAAAGAGAGCAAATTCAATAAGTTTTGTATTTGTTCAGATGGGACCGAGTTGGCCTGGAAATGGGAAAACACTTCTACCCCCATCATGACAACATTTATGTGTTCACAGTTCCAATCGGAAATTGTATCAGTTGATGCAAACCTACACACATCGTTAACTTCGTAAAACAGCTTGTCATGGAGTTCCAGGTCTGGGAGTTTAGATCCAAAAAGACTGATGCTCAATACAATTTTTTCCCCAGAACGGTGGTTGTTTCAATGCCACCCAGTTCTTGAAATTGGTTCATTCTTTCCTGTAGATAATCGACGCAATTGTCGTAGAAGCAAGTGATAAAATTCGTCACATCCGTACTTCTGATGAGACCCACTTGTTCGAGTTGGCCAATTAAGATCTTTACCTCGTTTGAAACAAAGCTGTTTCTGCTCCTGTCCCTGCAGTTGTGCAGGAGTTCGTACATTGCAGACGACACTACCAGTGCTGAAGTATGTTGTTCCTCAATTTTAGGTACAGTAGCGTGAAAATGGCAGTTGTGTATAAAGAAGAGTCACAACTCAGCGCAGGGATTTTCAAAAATATTGTAATTATGTAAGACACTCCTGTCGAGAGAAAAAATAGGATTTCAATGCCAAAAAGTGCTTCAGGATTCTATATAGTGAAAACCATCTGGTTTTCCCGTATCCTAGAATGCGTTGGCATTCTACCATTGCAGAGTCACAGAATTTCCTTAGTTCTTTAACACGAACCGTGTGAATGTAAGAATATATTTTCATCACAACTGTTACAACATCAATAGGAAGACAGCCAGCTGCCGTTTGCAATGCGTTGTTGACAATGTGGGCCACGCAACCAACTCCCACAAATTTCTGTACAACCAAAGATTTCAGTTTTGCAATACATTGCTTTGTCCTCTACTCTGAACGCCAGCGAAATTAGTGTTGGTGTTGTCAGCACAAAATCCCACAATTTTTCTGATTACATTATTTTACTCCAACACACTTGACAAATTCACAAATGGTGTCCGATATGTCATCAGTAAGTGACCGCAGATATAATAAATTCACTTCAATATACGAAGTCGTCAAGAAAATCTAACAAGAAGTGCGAACACTTTTACTACTTCCTTGTGGTTTGAGGCAAATTTTGCCTTGTTCAACTTTTTCTTGAAGTTGGTCTCTAGCAAATGGGAACAGGATATTTGTTGGTATTGCCTCACAGTTTGTGCGGGCACAAGCGAACTTAGACTCAACAAATTTCTCTATCAACTTGCTGGTACAATTCATGGAACGGAAACTATGCTTGTGAAATACAGCGGAATAAGCGGAGGTACCTTCTGCGGCTGCTAACTTGGCTTCTGTGTTTCCAAACGTTACCGATCGAAAATAATTAGTTTCAGAGGTAGAAGATGCTGGCGCAGACACTGCTACCTTATGGCGATCCGGTTTTAGGTGTTTTGTGACATCTGATCTGTCACCATGAGCTATATAGAAAATTCGGATTTGCATTTGTCACATCGAACATGCGAATGATTGTCGCGTGTTGCCTTCTTAATGAATGAAAATTCGCTCTCCAAGCGAGTAGTCATTTTAGACTTTTGTTTAGAAATGATTTTCTTATCAAATTTCACTTATTGCAGGGGTTTACCACTAAAGGCACAAAAAATCCCTCATCGCTTTTTCCCCTCCTTATGTATTGCCGCAAAAAATCACTTTGCCGCGTTGCCCACCCACGCAATTGACTATCCTGCCTGACTCATGCCCACTGCAGTTATTTTGGTCTTATGGACACTAGTGCGCCCCGCCTACTTTGTGACGTATGGCCACCTTATACAGAATGGAATTCTCTGTGTGGTCTCGGTTGCTGTTTTCTTCCATTGACAGACTAGTTGGACTCCACTGGCTGTTAGACCACAACGAAAATAGGTAAAAGTAAATAGAGTAGCCAACACGGAGTACGATAGAGGTGCAAAACAGCAAACCAAAATCATCAACAGTAAACGGAGGAGAACGATAGATAACAGATCAAACGAACAGACTTGCTGATTCCGGAGTGTTGAGGAGTAAGGAGGGTTCGTGGACAGATGTATCGTGAGCACAAAAAAATAGATGCACGGCAGTCAGTCATTAGTGGGTTAAGCAACGAAAATCAGGCTGTAACATTACAGCGGAGATTCGGCTAATTGTCAGATGAAAGTTGATCAGGTGAGTGGATCAGAGAAACCCCACTATCGTCATACCGATTTGCTACTTAGGGCGATTACCATACGACGAGGTTGGACTTAATTGTTGCAGTGACTCTGTCCTGCTATTTCAGCTAGAATGAAAACTGTGATGGAAAACAGTCACAAAAATGGAGTTTACCCGGACGGTTTCGGTGTTGCGCTCTCGCATTACAGCACTACACAACGCATTTCGCACAACGTCGAAAAACTGTAGTACCAATGGGTTGCTACGCAACCACTGCAGGCTTGGACAGGAAGGGGTCGCCCGCATCTGCACAGGCCCGAGCCAGGTGTCCGAAAACAAGCTGACATTGAAGAGCACAGTTGTGCCGCATGGATGGGTTGACACAAACGACGTTCAACGTTCGCAATCTAAGACAAACAGCTGCACTCGCACGCACCTTGGACACACTGGGTATTGATGTGTGTTGTGTGTCCGAAACCAGGATTAATGACCCTAACGGGGTTATTGAATTAACTGCACCCGGCTTATCCTCTCGTTATTGATTGCACGCATCCGGAGACGCCGATGCAACACTCACGGGTCAAGCTGGTGTAGGTATCATTCTAAGCTCCAAGGCTGAACCATCGTTGATTGATTGGATTCCGGTGAACAGCCGTTTATGCGCAGCCCGTTTGACAACATCAGTTAAGGGTGGTTCACGAAGTAGTACAAAACGCTGTTTGTTTGTGATTTCTGCATATGCTTCCACCGACTGCAGTTCAGATGTTGTCAAGGACACATTCTATGACGAACTGAACACGCTACTACGCAGTGCTACTAGTTCAGATATTATAGTATTGCAGGGGATATGAACGCACAAGTAGGGCGTCTGAGCTCTTCAGAAGCTCAGCTGGGTGGTAATTGTGGGCTTACCTCCGAACGGACTGACAACGGCGAGCGTCTGCTGCAACTGTGTGCGGAGCACCAGTTGTTTCTTACTAGCACTGCTTTTAGACACAGTGGGCGCCGAAGTGCCACTTGGCGTCCTCCTGTAGCTGGCCAGCGATGGACCCAAATTGACCACATAGCCATAAGTTACAGATGGCGTGGTTCCATCCTGGATTGCCGCTCGTACTGAAGTACCAGCGTCGGCTCCGATCATGCCTTAGTACGCTGTCGTTTCTCCATGAACTTTAACGGGAGACGCACCAAGCGTCCAATATGATTGTCAACGGAGAAACTGTCTCAGTCCTCGGTCATGCAAGCCTATCAAGTAGCACTGCATACCGAACTTCCGCTGTCTCGTCCTAATGACACTGAGCTTCAGTGGAATAGGATCTCGGCCGCCATGCCGGACGCAGGAGCATCTACTTATGGCACTATCCATCGTCACCGCACCAGTCACTGGATATCCGAGAAGTCGGTGAACCCGTTGGAATCTAGAAGGCGCCTCTCGGCTGGCTCTGAGCACAATGTGACCAGACGGGCTATTAGGCGTGAACTAAAGCAGAGCCTACGTGCTGACAATGAAGCCTGGTGGACCAGTAGGGCGCAAGAAATGGAGGAGGCAGGAGCAGTAGGCAATTACCGCAAGCTCTTCCAGCTAATCCGCACCACTGGTCCCAGAAAACCAGGCGTCAGTGAGACAATCAGAGACAGCGCGGGTGCGCTGATACACAATAAGGAGCGCCGTATGGCTCGTTGGGCGGAAAAGTTTCAAGATGTGTTCAGCTGGGCCTCTGCTCCCGGACCTCTTCCTACTCAGGTGATGCAGGACGAGCCATGGACGGTTAGTTTAGAGCCTCCGTCGGAGGCCAAAATCGGAAATGCGATCACAGCTCTCATCGTTTTGGTGCCGCTGGTCCGCATTCCCTCCCACCTGCACTATTTAAGGATGGAGGTGAGGTCCTCTGCAAAGCACTGACCTCCCTATTCGAACGTATCTGGAACGAAGAGTGTGCCAGCTAATTGGAGCGAATCGATTATAGTGGCAATATACAAGAACGGCAGTCGCACAGACTGTTCTAACCACAGGAGTATCGGCTTAAAGCTAGTTGACAAAATTACTGCCCTTGATTATCGTTCGTCGCCTCACTGCAGAACGGGAAGCTCGGATCAGGGAAGAGCAGGCCGGTTTTCGCCCAGGACGTGGCTGTATAAACCATATATTTACTTTGCGGCAGGTGCTAGAGCAACGCCACGCATACTGCAGACCGACAATAGCTGTGTTCCTCGATTTCAAGAGTGCGTTCGATGCGGTCGATCGATCGATTCTGTTCGAGTTGCTTGCGCGAAAAGGTGTTCCCACGAAATATGTGAACATCCTTCGTGCTCTATACTCGAACACTACAGGCCGCGTCAGGGTCTACGATGTCCTATCGGATAGCTTTCCGACCACAAGTGGCGTTCGTCAGGGTTGTCCGCTTTCCGCATTTTTGTTCAAATTCGTCGTGGATTCTATCATGGAGTGTTCCCTTGCGGAATCTCACGATGTAGGTGTTGAAGTGCTGCCTGGTAAAAGGATAGTTGATCTAGATTATGCGAACGATATCGTCTTGCTTTTCGACAATGTTGAGGCGGCACAGTCAACCCTGAATAGCCTATCCCGAGTGGTCCCATTATTTGGTATGCACTTCGCACCTTCAAAGTGCAAAGTGTCGCTGCAGGACCACCAGCCACTTGATGACCTCTTGACGCTTGCTAACGAGGAACTCGAGGTGGTTGATCATTTCACTTATCTTAGGAGCTGCATCAGCAATGATGGACGCATAGAAACTGACGTCAGCTCACGCATTGCAAAAGCCAGAGCTACCTTCTCGAACCTGCGGCATCTTTGGAGACAGATAGAGCTTCCCTCCGTCTGAAAGACCGTGTATACAAGGCCACAGTGAGGGCCGTTCTACTCTATGGTAGTGAGAGTTAGCCTCTTCAGTTTGAAGATCTGAGGCGCCATCAAGTCTTTGATCTTCGTTGTCTGTGATGCATTGCTGGTGTCGGATGACACCAGCGTGTCCGTAACGATGGTGTGCGTAGGCGAGTACTAGGTGGTGATAATCGTGCTAGCTCCCTAGAACAACAGATAACACTGAATAAGTTGCGTTGGCTCGGGCACGTGCTACGTATGCCTGGTCATCGCTTACCTAGGAGGGCCTTGTTTAGTCTGCCAGCTGTAGGTTGGCGTAAGGCTCGAGGTGGACAGAAGTTGACTTGGCAGCGGGAAATGAAGTCACTGACGACCAAACTCGGTGCCGTTGGTCCGTCTCGCCTTCCGGGTTGGAGTCCACGTGACTCACCTTGTGCTTGGCTCGAGACTTTGCAGGACGTGGCTCGCAACCGACACCAGTGGCGCGTCTGCTGCCGTCTCCTAATTGGATTGCCTGTTTGAAGTGTGTTTGGTGCTGAGTTATCTGCGGGGTAATGGCTGATTAGGATGCGGGGCAGTGAAAGCGGCAAGGCAGCTGTCTCGACGATGCCACCTTATCTTTGCACGATAGCCAGCTGTTTATGACGGTATTTTGTCTACACAAGGTGTAGGCGCCTTGACCCTGAATGTCTGCTTAGGGCATTAAGGTTTTCAGGTAAGTCCCCCTTCTCTCCCTCTTCTTACACTTTATCTCATAGGTCCTCATAGTTGTATGGCAGCGAAGCATCAATTCAAATGGCTGATGTACTGCTGTTGATTATGATACACTTGAATCAAATGTCCAGCAACTCATCCAGCCCTCTCCCTATGGTTTTGATTTTCATTCAATTTCCCTTAGCTTTTTCACCGTCGTTGATTTTCGGCCGGTGGCCGAAAGGATTACGCGCCTGGCTTGCAACCCCTGCGTTGCCGGTTCGAATCCGCGTAGGGCGGGCCTCCTCGCGGTATACTCAGCCCACACGCGACCGGTGGTGATCGCGTGGCAGCGAAGCATCGGTGTAGTGTGCCGGCGTACTGCTGATGACTTTGAGAATACAAAATGTGAAGTGCCTTCAATGGGTACTAAATCCGTGGATGAATCATTCTGAAGGCCGGCACACAAAACTAGTTGGTTTCGATGATGCTGAACCTGAACCGTAGTAAACTGCACTGTTCACCGAAAATTATAAAGAACAACTGAGCCACATATCAGGTAAACTGGTTTAGAATTTGTGGTCGTATACGCGATTTGAGTGACAAGGTGCAAAATCATTGCAATTAATAGAATGCAACTCATGTGTCTGAGAAAAGTACCTCACCTGTCGAAGATTTTCGGCCGAAACGAGCCGATTTTGTGCCTCTTCCAGTTGTGCCTCCAGAGCGACAATCCGTTCCTGCAAAGCAGTAATATGATGAGCTATTACCTGACAACGGGTACGGCTGCAAACGGAGCGATTCGGGTATAAAGCTCATAAGGCACAACTTGTCGGACAGAAGCATGGACGACACAAAGCTTAAAAATATATTTAAAAGTCGAAAGCTCGATTAGAGACGGGCACAACACATACGGAAGGCGCACCGTGTAGAACAGTCTAAGTTCAAATCCTAACTTAAGTTTGAGAAACCTCCCGAGCAGTCTTTCAGTGTCTGACACTCGAACGTGCGTACTGCGTCGAGCAAAGCGTCATACGTTGAATTGCCTTGCTGTGGGGTAATTTAGAGGCAGCGGCATAGCAACTTTGTTAGCCGCCCGGGGGTGGATGGAATATTCCATCCTCTGGCAGTTGTAAATCTGTGCACCTTCAGAATTGCAAACAGTCTTCAATGTTTGGGTTCATAGTACAACAATTAATGATCTAATTTAGTGGTGTTGTAAGTGGAAGCATTTGTATTGTCACAATACTCGTGTACAAGATTTAGAAACACACTTTCTCGTTCACCCGAAAACACTGCACTCCACGACCGGTTTCGAAAGTATTTGATCTCATTAGACAGAGCTAACAAGCGTCGAACCCGGGAATAGTAGAATGTAAACCGAAAGCCATCAGTCATCAGGTCACAACGGGCAATGGTTGTCAAGCTAGTTAATGACTGATTAATGGGTCGTTTTGAAGCGCTCGTTGTGTGAACGGATTGTGACGCGCAATCTCGATGTGGACCGCGATTCACATTGAAGTGAACCTTATCCAACTCGATCACTAGGACCGTAAGTAAGGAAGCAGAAGGAAAGTGGGTGTTATGCACCCGAAAACACTGCACTCCACGACGCGTTTCGACTGCAAATGTGTTTTTTATTATCCAGCAATACTGCAATATTCAACTATCGTCTTAGCTGGGAATTTTGCTGTTTACACTTGGTATTAAACAAACATCTGTGCTAAAGATGCCACCCTCTGTCACATGCCGCCCAGGGTGGAACGCTCCCCCACTTGTAATGCCTTTGGTCTGAAGTACCCGTTTTGCGAACGGATTGCGAAGGAATGCAAAAGTACACGACAATTCAGCAGACTGGGTAATTCGTTCGGCCAAAATTCATGAATGAATCACAGAACAGCACCCAACCGATACCAGATGCAACGTCCAGTTGAGTTTATGTCAATATGAACGCAAATGCACTATTTGAGTGGGATGGGCAGATGGAGGATGCACTAGGGGATAGATGCAGAACATATATGTTGTAATGATTGACAGACCTATCAAAGTTACATGACTAGCTGCCAACTGACCAACCAGTTGCGAAAGTTGCTTCTGTGGGCAAGCCACATGTCTAATGAGAATGGGTGTACATCCGTGGAACCGGCGGAGAGTGACAGACAGCAACAGGAACGCATACAAATGAAAGCGCGTTCGGATACAGTAACCCCAAATGGCATTCGCGATGTGGTACGCTTCTTCTGACTGTGTGTTCGTCAGAGTATTCAACAAAGTGTAGATAAGGGCGCATTACGAAGTGAACAATTTTAGTCTGTGCCAGTGGGTGGCAAACACCTCGTTTACTCGAGTCGGCCTCCAGGGCGATGGTACAGTCTCGTCTTGAGACCCATGACCAACATGCATTTAGTTGCCACATGGAATGCAGATCCACAACCTGGCTGGATGTGGATCAGCAGCGGAAGAAACAAACCCTCTCGGCAATTGGACTTTATAGTGACCAATTGAAAATTTTCATCCGTTGCGTTTCGTGTGAAAAAGAAATATATTTTGCGGTGGTGAATGATAACCCCTTGAAATTCACCCGCCGCTGATGATACATCCCTCCTACTACCACCATACGCTGAAGGTGAAACTCACTGTATGGAGTGCAAGGAAACAAGCGCAGCAGATCAAATGGAGCAAGTGCACGTTGACAACACAAGGGTAGCCTAATTGAAACCTATCCTATTCCGAATACAGATGGAAAATTTTCCAGGATTCATAAACTGGTGTGCATTGTACTAACAGAATCATTCTTAAGGTGAGGGAAGAACCAATCACATAGTTTTCCTCTGCTTCTCCTGATGTTCCCGGATGTCAGGCCCATCACGCCGCCGCTGGTTTTAAACGAAGGCTAAATTTGCAGAGGACAGTCTGAGGCTCTCCAAACATTAGTAGATAGGAACATGCAAAGGAACAATAGCGGGATTTGTTTTAATGCTGCCTATCACTTGTTTTATTGTTCAGTCCAATGTATGCTTAGCGAACAAGTCAAAGTCAAATCAGTTTGGGTGTAAAATTTACCGCCAGTGCCTTATGCCATTAGATCATAAAAGACGGGGGTAGACTGTCATTCACCATGGTCATACGAGTTGCAACATAGCATCTAAAAGCTGACTGGGACCGGTCATCTCTACTTCAGACAAAGGATCATCCTAGTCATAAGCATCCGGGTAAGCGTTGATGATGATGTTGAGCAGAGCCAATGTAACCAGCACTCCACCCACCTGCGCTCAGCCGTGAAGAGAGATTTCTTTCACAGAATGAAAGACAATGCTCAATTTACCCCTTTCCGGTAGCCGGATATAGACAAAAGGCATACCACTACAATCAACTGATTTACTACTGAGAACCTAATACCAAAGCTGTGTAATCATGATGGGTGCATAAATACTTTCATGTTCAAAGGTAGAGACACAGCGTGTACTTGGTGGGCTTGAAGATGTGCCAGTAGATGTCAACTTCTCACGTTTCGGGGGGGGGGAGGGACGTAAAAACTGAAAAGACCATCTGACCAACTGTGGTATCAAGCGCTGTGAGCACACCAAAGTCAGTGATGCGAAGCCCGTGGGGGCCGGAAAAAGCGCATACGGAAACATGCGCCTACGCAAATATGAGAGTTTCGTCGCTTGGCACCTACTCGATTGCCCTACACGCCAAAGCATCAACGATTCATTTGGGATACTAAGCAGACAGAGCACTGCTCGGCTACTGCAGTTTACCGAAAGCACAGAGATTCGGAGGTTCTAACAGTTGGTGTGAGCAGACCTTGCCTTGCTGAGGTTGGTAACCCCATCCCGCTAAGCGGAATCCTTGCTGGCATCAAAAGACCTTCGATCGTCAATGTTTGGCCAATTACATTGCAACCTGACTGTATGAAGTGTAAAATTTTATTCCATTGTACACTTAGACACCCAATATGAAACGTTAAACTGGTTTGACTGAACCGAAAAACGTCCTCGCACACCTGCGACGCCTAATTTCACATTAGTGGGTAACGTACATCACTGTTCTGGAAGCATTCATGTTAAAATAGGTAGTTATATGGTACCCAAATTCGTAGTTATACAAGAAATCAGAACTAAGAATCGGCGAACAGGCTTTTTTTCGGTTACACATCAAAACTGACGGGAATAAAATGAGCGAAATATGACAGACAGTAGTAAAGCTTAAAGGTTTAGGTTATCTGAATGACAAAACAAGGCGGTTGATTCGGAAGCTTTCTGATTCTTTCGGTTAAACAGGTAATCAGGTTCCGTTTATAATTGAGTGGGATAAAGCTGGTAAAATGTATATATTGTCCGTTCCACGCTGCCTTCCCGTGCACCCCTTCGTTGGGTCGACACATTTGGTTTTAGGCTAATCTGAAGGTCTAAGAAGAAAACCATGCTATTGCGTTCAGATTCGAGGGTGAACTTAGCATTATCGTGCAATGAATTAAAATGGGACGAAATTTGCTTCTGAACCAAGCACTTCGCTTTGTCATTCATATAACGTGAAACTTTGAACTTTACCACTAATATATTTCGCTCATTTTATTCTTCTCATTTGTGGTGTATAAGCCTAGTGAGATCCACCGAAAAGACGCCTGATCGATAACTTATTTTTGACATCTACGCCTGGGATACATTTTTACTTATACGATAGGTGTACAAATTTCAAAATAGCAAGTAGGAACAACACTATAATTCTGTTTACTGGAATCAGTCATTTCACGTATTCCCGTCAACCTTCCACATACAACTTGTGGATTAATTGGGTTACACACACAAACAGTCAAAGCGTAATGCCATTGGTAAAACATTGACGATCGAAGGTCATTTGACGCGGTCACCAACCTCATCAAGGCAACGCAACGCTAGCCACGAATTCGATCTGTTCATACCAAATGCGTCACAGCCGCTGAATCGCTGGCTTCCGAAAACTGCAGTAGACGAGCAGTTGTCTGTTGAGTATTCCAAATGAATCACTGATGCTTTGGCGCTTATGGCAGTCGAATAGGTTCCGAGCGACCGAACTAGCCAGTGGGTAGTGACGGTTGAGCCCAATGAATTGGAATATTGGTAGCTCGGGAGGCTTGCTCAGGTGTTGTGGAGTTCTCCGAGCTGGGCAACTTGGTTGCAGACGTTTCGCCACCATTCGAGGTGGCATCTTCAGTGCGGGGTTGATAGCAGTGAAGTAGCGGTAGCTGGTAGAAAGCAAACCCAATAATGGATACCGTCAGTAACCACTCCGTTCCTTATATAGGCATACGGGGCTATTAATTTTGTCTCGATCTCATTGGTGAATCCTTGTGTTCAGCGGTTGTGCTCGAGTCATTGTCATTGGCTGCGGAAATGTTGTTGCGACGTGGTTGGGCTTATCGCACTCGGATTGGTGCAAGAGGTGCGGGTGAGTAGTCCGCACACCGATCAGATTTTGAATTTCCACAGCAACCACCCAAGATGTCACAAAATAAGCTGTGTGCAGACACTGTTCCATAGAATAGCAACTCACTGCAGCACGGCAGAAGCGAAATGAGCAGAAGAAAAACACTTATTCAAGTCATTTGAACGCAACGGATACCCACGCAGTTTCCGCCGAAGATGTTTAAACCGCAAGCCCTCAAAAACCGAACCTACGTCAACTATGACGAAACGGATAGTTCTGCCATACATAAAGAACGTGTCTGAAATGACTGCCAGATTGTTCGAACAACATCATATCATGGTAGCCCACAAGCCAACCGCCACTCTGAGGAAAACATTGTCAAAACCAAATGGAAAGCGAGAGACACTAGAACGACGGAATGTCGTATATAGAGTAAACTGCGCAAACTGTGAAAAGCACTATGTGGGACAAACAGGAAGGGAACTGTCAACCAGGATACATGAACACCAAAGAGCGTGCAAGAAGCATTACGCAACCTCATTGGTTTCAGTACACGTAGATGAAGAGGGACACAGGTTCGACTGGAACAAGGTAGAGATCTTGACCGCAGGAGAAACACAAAAAGGGAGAGAGTTTCACGAAACCTGGTTCTCAACCACGAACTCAATCGACACGCATATCGACCTCGATCCAATATATCAACTGCTGAGACAGAGAGAGTTCAAGAGGATCAACAACCGTTGTCCGAAAGAACCTAATTCAACACACGCACAATGAACAGCATGGCCAATATGAGCCCGGACTACTCACCCGCACCTCTCGCACCAATCCGAGTGCGATAAGCCCAACCACGTCGCAACAACATTTCCGCAGCCAATGACAATGACTCGAGCACAACCGCTGAACACAAGGATTCACCAATGAGATCCAGACAAAATTAATAGCCCCGTATGCCTATATAAGGAACGGAGTGGTTACTGACAGTATCCATTATTGGGTTTGCTTTCTACCAGCTACTGCTACTTCACTGCTATCAACCCGCACTGAAGATGCCACCTCGAATGGTGGCGAAACGTCTGCAACCAAGTTGTCCAGCTCGGAGAACTCCACAACAACTGAGTGAGCTCAATGAGCTCTTTTCAGCTGCCCTAATGAGAGAGAAAATTCACCTGTTGCCTGATGTAGCTGGGGCGTCGGTCAAATGAGCGTAATCAACTCTGACTCACCTTCTGATTATGCTGAAGCAGCAAGTTGGCTTTCTGTTGACTCAATGCTTTGGATTTTTGTTCCTTCATCGCCTATGGAAGAAAACGACAGCTGAGCAGACGCGTGACAATGTTTTCGTGCAGATAAGTAAATCAATGAGCAAGAGGAACAGTGGTTATATGCGAGTAAAAATGCTAGAGCATAACAGGTCCCTTAAGATGATCACGGTGAATATTGTAAAATATAGAAAGGTAAGTTCACACCGGTGGACCCACCGCCGTATACATATTAAGAACTGTCAATCCTCTGTAAGTCCATAAGGAATGATGCAAATTGGGCCGTTCGTTTAAACCGTGTCGCCTCCTGCTGAACACGTGCAGGAGGGGGCAAAGTCGGAAGGTATTCTAAGAGCTGACCGATAGTGAAAGCTCTAAAAGATACTGGTATTTGGTCATGGGCAGTGAGTCATGTGGGATGGTGCAGCGAAATGAGTGCACCGTCAATTCCGGCTATGAAATCAACCAGCGTGGGTGCACAGGTGACAGATTACGGTAAGGCATTCCATAGTTGAGAAACACATACGGAAAAGAAATTCCGACGGCATTCCAAACGAATGTACTGCTATGCCACCTTGAGATGGTGGCCTCTCAAATTGCTGCTGTGATTGTGCTCCAGTAAATGGCGGAACTTATGGTTCGGATCCATCAAAAGGCATGAGTGAGGAACCAGAAGACTTGCCAGAAACCTACTGGCAGACCTCAACATTGCTCATTCAGTGTTCCCACTAGATGTCAGCAATACTCTACAAGCACCGGTGGCCAAACACGGCTAAGCATTTGATGTCTTCGCCGCGAACTGTCCAGGTCCTCTGATCCATACAGTAAGACCCACTTTACCGCAGCGTTATACACCCTACCTTTCACTGACAAGCTGATATCCTGCAGCCTCTATAGATGGTTGAGTATCTGGAAAGTCAAATGGGCCTTGCTGACACGCGAAGTAACTATATCAGTGTTGTAAAAACCAGAGGTGATACAACTACCAGAGTGCGTGAGGCATCCGCAGTGCGTCGGTACACAGTACTGACGCTTCGCTGTCGCGCAACCACCACCGGTTGCACGTGGGCTAAGGATACTGCGACGGTCGCCCTGTGCCTATGCAGGCTCGAACCCGCGCCGTCAGATTACAAAGAATCTACTTACCTATAGGCTACAGGCCGGCCAAGATAAGTGAACCGATGCACCGATTCCTGTGGCTGTTAGGCGATCATTAGAAGCAGAGGTGTGTCGGTCTAGTCCAGCAGCAGTTTGAAGGCGCAAAGCACATGCCGAGGCGAGCAGCGCTACACACCAGTCTATCCAGCAGTCTTTGCATAGTCACTGGGTCAGACCCAAGAAGAGCTATGTCGTCCGCGTACTTCATGTTGGTCAGTTGGCCACTTGGCAGAATTTCCACTCCGGTGGAGTCTGAAGGAACAAGGTCATTCATGATCATTTTCGATCACAGAGTTGAAGTGGAAAGGAGATATAGGACAACGCTGGCGAATCCTACTTGTCTTGGAAAACTCAGGAAACAGTTTCCCATGGACCCTTACACGATTTCGGAAGTCACCGTAGAGAGACTGCATAATGGAAAGGAATTTAGCCGGCACGCTCTTTATGGATAGGACGTGCCAAAATCTGGCGCGGTCCATAGAGAGGAAGGCGGCTTTCAAGTCAAAAATCCACAATAGTTGATCGTCTGTATGTGTGCCTCTGCTCTAACACTTGGCGAAGAGTAAATATGTGGTCGATATAACCCCGACGAGGGTGAAAGCCAGCCTGGTTCTCATGCGGACCGGAAAATCGTCGGACAATGATGCTGGTGAATCTTGGTGGTACTAGAAAGAAGGCTTATGCCTCTCTGATTTTCGCATAAAGTAGGCTGACCATTCTTGAAGATAGGCACGATAGTTGACAACCGCCATTCTGCATGCACTTCTTCACTGATTCAAGTCGTGTTGAATATAGTAGCAAGTGCATTCAACAAAGGGTCACAGCCAGCTTTTAGCAAATATGGAGGAAGATGGTCGGATCCGGGATATTTGTTTCATTTCAACAGGGTAACTTCATCTCAAATCTCTTACAAAATGGGAAGTGTGACATCTGCTCCCCACGTCGCCTCGGGCTATTCGGCAAGTCGCAGTGTCGCAGCAGGCCTGGTAAACGGTTCTTCGAAATGTTCCGCCCAACGCGCTAGTCGACCACACAGAATGAATCAACAGCCGGTCCTCAGCCTCGTTAACGATGGGTTTCGCGGACACGTGTTCCGGATGAGCTAGAATAGATTATTATTATTATTATTATTATTATTATTATTATTGGTAACTGCTGCAAGCCTGCCTTGTAATCAGAGGGCGCGGGTTCGAGCCTGCGTAAGGACCAGGCGATCCTCGCAGTATCCTTAGCCCACGTGCGACTGGTGGTGGTTGCGTGACAGCGAGGTGTCAGTACTGCGTACCAGCGTAGTGCTGGTGAGCTTGCCCTTCGCTCCATGGAACAACGGGGAATATGCATGGCCCACTGTCCACACGTCGCAGACGGTAAGCTGACAAAAGCACAGTCCCGATATCATCTGTGGACCCTATTGTTACTCGTATTAGCCGGGACTCACGTAGTACATCGAGTTTGGATGATGTGCATTAAATCATTCGGCCTGGCCCGAACACTGATCCGATTAAAAAACAACTCCACTGTTTAAAATCATCCTACTGTTTATCCCTTAAGGTGTTTGTCTTGAACTCAGTAATACTGGTGGAGGTGTGTCAGGGCACCATAGTTTCGCCTGGTCTTCGGTTATGTGCGAGGCCGGCCATGGGTGGAATTGGTGACGACCAAGCAGGTTGCTCCTGGTCCTTGAACCCTGTTATGGCTGTAGAGGATGGAGCTGCTGAAGTCGCACTTTGATTCTATCGTATAAGTGAATCGGTCCTTAGAAAGATCTGGTATTTGTCGACCAATCAGGAATGTATGCGATACCACGTTTGCACCAGCCGATACAATAGATACGAGGATGTGGGTGGTGGAGGCGGGCATGCTTCGGTAGTTGGCGACGACGAGTTGTTTAATGGGTTAAAAGGTTTCCGGTACTTTGACACCGTAGGAATGCCTGACCCTTTTTCTTGGTTTCGAGGTAGCAATTGGAGGATATGTATGTGGCGCAAGCCGTAATATTGTCGCTTGTAGCGAGGTAAGTTCAGCATTTAGACAAAGTTGAGTTTCAGCAACTAGACTGTCGTACTCTTGTGTTAAAACCAGTATACATTTACAAATGGAACGTTCGTGTCGAGTAGCCCTCTGAAAATCAAGTAGACTGGGCCGCGGACACGAAGTCGTTTAGTAAGACTACGCATGGATGATTGTAGAGTACAGATACTATTTGCAAGATTCAGCTCCAATGGCTCACCACTTAATTGCATTACGTCACTGGCTCCATTTCCATTAGTTTACGCTTGTTCGCAACGTTCATCCTGCCTAAAATCACCTCGAGCTGCGTTGCTGACTTTCTGAGTGGATTGTACGATTGGCTAGATTGGTCACTCGTCTATTGGTCACACGCCTCTTCCCTTGGTCCGATGCCACAGCAAACCATGCACTCAAGTGCGTGGGCTGGCAAACCAATCCACTTTTTCGCCAGAGCGAATTGGTCCTTTGCATTTGGAACCTGCTGGCGCCTGATTGGTCACCTGCACACTCAGTGGATTCATGTTCAGTTGCTTGGCTGTCTTTGCAGAGCTCGACGCGAGAGTGCGCAGACCACTCGCTGTTTGGCTGACCAATCCGCTTCCGGTGACATGCTCAGTTTCCTTCGGGCTAAATTGCATCCGTTCGGTACTCCGCGAAATGCTGCGTGGCGTTGCCATCTGCCTACCGGTAGCATAGTTTCCACTCACCATTGGTTACAGCCACCATCACACACAGGACAGAGCCAAAGTGAGCCCGGAATGCCGTAATACTTTCTTCATCCCGGTTCTACGCAATCTAATGCAAATCAGATGGCAATGACTGGTACAGTGGGAACATGTAGGGTTACTTTTACTAACCTAACATGCATAGATAAGCAAAAAGGCTCCCTTTCGGGTTACATGTATTGTGATTCTGGCGGTCGTAAAATTGATATCTAGTTTGTGGCTTAACCGCGTCGCACCGTCGCTTAGCGTTCGCTCGCCGACCGTCATGCAAAAGTCAGATGACTGGCTCATCGCACGTGTGTGTTGCATACGTGTGTTGTAGCGCCCCAAAATGTAACTATTACCTTTTGTGTACAATTTCACTGATGACAACGTGTACATTATTCTTTCGTGTTTTAATCTCCCTTACAGTACGTCCATGGTGATCTACATCCGGTGCGACACTTGACCGTCCTGCCAGTTGCCGTGTTAACGTGACTCTCCTATCTCGCTTCATCCGTCCACATCTTTTGTAGCCCAGCGAATACAGTCCGCTGTGTCCAACTTCAACTGCCTTCTGATATCCGCACTTGATTAGGCACACCGTCTTCGACTCGTATTTACTAGTCCTACAAATTGATGACCCCAATTCGCATGCACGAATTTAAACCTTTTTCGTCGTTTGTATTTTCTGGTGAGTTCGTTCCTTTTTCGCAATTATTTACGTATTTTCCTTTGTCTCGCGTAATTTTAGTAGTTTCATCGTGTCTTTGTTCATCCTTTATTTTCTCGATTCACCACTCGAAAGCAGTATGTGAGTCGTTACACAGCGTAGGCATACTTCTTTTGGCTGTTCCAAATTTCATGGAACACGTCCCCGAGGTTTGGTTGACGATATCCAAGATCAAACTGGAAAATAAGGGCATTCGGACGGACCGTTCGTAGTACAATCAGCTCGTCCCACGCCTTCCTTCATCGGTTGTGACGCTGGTTGAGGACCTTCTACTCTGCACATCGAATTAGGCAAAGTATGAAGCGATAAAACATGCTATTTTAAAGGAGTTACGGCTTGGCGCACGGGCTAGAATTGAACAGCTCAGTAGTCTCAAGCTGGAAGAACGCAAGCAATCTACGTCGCTCCGCGAAATTCAGCGCATCGCGGGT